TATATTGAGTAGATAATGATATAGTGCAGAGAGACATTAGCAAATAACATAGACATAGTCAGCACGTTGTATTACAAAATGCATCAAAAGCAATGGAACATATTAAAATAATTTATTGTAAACTTTAAACGTTTAAAGGATTTTTTAGGTGGTTGGTGAATAAACCATTTAGAAACTCAATTAATTAAAATCTAAATTATGAAAATTGACAGGAATAGCAATTTTAGACACAAATAACAGTTTAAAATAAAAGTATTTCATATCTCACAATATTTCAAATGGGGGGACACACGTTTTAGAGGTGTAAATGGGAGTGTGGACAAGGGCGAGGTTGCTCTGAGAAATTCTAAGTGACTTACTAATAACAATTTAAACAATGTAAATGCAATTTCTAACAAGAACAATGTATCTTATTTACACAGACTAACTTGTGCTGTGCCCATAATAGGGACTGTCCCTCCAACATAGGGACACTTAGGAGGTATGTTTTTTTTTTAGTATGAAATTTGTGCAGTTCTTTATTTAATGAATAATCATTTTACTGTTAATAGTATTTTTGGTCCAGGACTATTGAAGAAACTTGGACATTTTCTTTCAGAGAACAAGCCAAAAGCTAGTGATTATCCTTTTTTTAAATATTCTACAATGACCACGTTCTCAAATGTCATAACTGTTATAATAATTAGCATCCTAAGGTTCCTCGAATCTTTATGATTTGCGCTTTATGCTATTTGTTTTTAGATCATTGTAGCTTGTTTTAAACACGGTCCAAAGGGTTTACAGAAGCCCAGTGACCTCTGTGAAGGGAAGATTAATTGTGGTACTAAAAATAGCTAGAACACAAAAAAAACTATTTAGAAAATATTTAAAATGTACCTGTGATGACAGCTTCACCTTAGCAGGTGCTACTTCCTAAAGCAATATAGTAATCAAGCCATCACAATGATAAACTACCACAATTATTCACAAAAATGAGAATACGCGAGAATTCACAGTTAATTCATACTGAATTTCTCATCTAAAATCAAAGTAGTCAAACTCAAAACATAACAAAACTGAAGATATTTTCAAATTGAGCTTTTTGTTTGTTTTTGATACTTGCAATTTATTTGTTTGTGGTTACGTGTATTGCACAGCAGAAGTCCAAACCGTGTGTTACATTTCTTGTTACATACATTGGGTTTGTAGGCAGTTACATCACAGTGTTAAACCTCTATGGAAATAACAATAATTGGCAGAAACATAAGAAACCAAAATAAACACAAAAACTAAATTAACTTTATAACCCAGCTATAAAGAAAATGACAAGGCATGTCATTCACATACCGGACCCTACGCGTTCTGATCCCCATATATAGTATATGTACCTTGTAGTAGTAAAATTCACACCTGGTGTGATCAAACTGGATTTAACCACGAAGGTCACAACATTTGTACTACAGGGAGCAGTGCCTAACATGGATCAAGGCTTTCTCATTCTACTACCAATCTCCTTCCTAATGGGGACTCCTGTTAGTGGTTCAAAGTTTGTTTAATCTTTTGTTCGGAATCCTTATTTTATTTTTTTGGACCAATACCCACCAGATGATACGTCTAGCCCTTTTTTATTGCCCAGGCTGCCCGCAGTGCTTCCATTATAATCACTTCACCAAACTGGAATCTGGATTCATTATGGGGGCCATAAACATTGATTAGTGTGTTTGGTAAACTGCCATTAAGTGGAGTTTGTGCTTTGGTCCACAGATACATAAAAAAAAAAGAGAACAGAAACTATTGGTTCGTAATTCCTGTTCTCTTTTTCATGTACCCGTGGATCAAAGCATAAACTCCACTTGAAGCAAGTTTACTGGATACAGAAAATTGTGAACTATATGCGGTTGAAATTTTCTATTTCTGTTTTTTATTTATTTGTTGATTCGAGCAACCTTTGTTTTTCTTTTTTTGTGTTGACCTGGTAGTGAGAATAGAGTTTCACATTACAAATATTGATAATAATAAAAAAATAAAAAAATTAAAAAACAAAATAATAAAGTAATAATGTCCAGTTTGTCATTGAAAAGTGCGAGATAGTTCTAGCCTAAAGAGTGATAAAAAACAAAAGACCGAAATATCCTTTAGTGGGGGATCGCTTTGTGCAAGTGCAACTAAATGAGTGAAATTGATTCTCCACCATCGCCCATTCTTCTGGTGCCCATCAACTGGCCTACATTAAGGAGGACCAATCTGTAATAAGAATCCCAGCACTAATGTCATACGCTGGTAATGGTAACAACCTGTGGCGTATTAGTGGCCCCACTGTTTAAGTATTTTTCATCCTTCTTTTGGTGATGTGATCACCTTTTCTGCTCAATTTTCTTTTGACATTGATCTTAACTGGGAATACACCCATGAAGAATAGCTGAGCTACGCGTAGAGCTTTAGTTATGTGTCCAAAGGTCTTCTGCCTTCCTCCTGGACATTGTATGTGAAGAAAGATCTGAGTAAAGCTGGATGTTTGCAAATAAATACTTCCCTGTGCAAAGCACAGGTTTTCTTATTATGCTGACATATTAGTTTGCCAGTACGGCAGTGTTTGAATGGAGTAAGCTCTGTCACTCCATTCTTATTTTCCTCTGGCAAAGCAGGATATATTTTCACCAGAGGAGTGTTATAGCAACTACAGCCCATATCCACTAGTTGTTATGCAAGAGTGCAGCGTAATCAATGGTAGGAGGTTTTTCCTTACACAACATCATTCCATTTTTGCAGGTTTATGCCCTCTTTGTTCCTATACCAAAACTAATATTGACAGGTGAGGGTAGGGGCTGCATTGGTTTGAAGACTATTTCTAAATCTTTTTATCCTCTAGGACGCTGTCTAGACAGAATGCTATGGGTCTTTCATCTGACCTCAGAATTATAGAACTACAGCGTCCATGATGCTTTGTCATTCTAAAGCATCATGGGAGTTGTAGTTATACAACATCTGTGGATCAACCTTTTGGGCATGCCTGCCCCACAGGGTTTCTGGTACACTCCGCTGGCACAATCATTCAAGTAAAGAGATTGATTCTATAGTGAAGCATTTTCCTGGGCGATCACTGCGATTTAACTAGGCAGTAACATTAATGGATACATTCATTAAACAAGGGATCGTAGATAGATTCCAGGGACATTGGACATTCTACATCAAAGTTGGCTACACTTTGCAGCTCTCGTTTAGTAAACAAACCCCTCTATCTACATACTTTGTGGTTAATCCATTGAACGGTGACAATTTTACAGATTGACAATTTTAGACTGACGTTTGCAATTAAGATTTCAATTCACCTCAATTCATTATTTTGGAAATAAACCCACATGATGCAAAATAGCAAACATATTGGTACCTCTATCTATAATACATACCGATTTTATTATATTCCTGTGTAAAGCTATGTATGTGAGCATTCAATTGGGGTGTAAATGGCTGCATCTACATGCCCCATGATGCACTTTGCTCAATTAATAAATACTTCATCACACATAACTGGCTGAGACATAAAGCGACTTCCAATCATCTATTCTGGATAAACTATTTTAGAAATGGCTTTGAAGTTCCGGCCAATAAAACGTGTAATTATATTCATCGTATAATTAAAGGAACATTAAATCTTCAGTATAAATTCAGCTTATATATATAGGAACATTCAGAGTAGTTAAAAATATATCTACAATAAAAACGTGCCTGCCTTTGCTTATTATATCCCAGAAAGCCTGTATCTAATGGTTGATTGGAGAGTGCCATTAGTTAATACTCCATTCTTAACCCCTTAAGGACCAAACTTCTGGAATAAAAGGGAACATGATAGGTCACACATGTCATGTGTCCTTAAGGGGTTCAAGTTTCTGGTCACATGATTTAAATTTCAAGTAAGGCTTAAACCAGCAATCAACACAAAGCTTTGATATCTAAAACACCAATTACGTTTCCTCCTTCCTGTTCTTACTCTTCCCAAAAACGCAGGACTTTTATATATGTAACTGAGTCTGTGTCGGTGTGCTATCTTTTATAAAAAATGCGTCACCCTTAAAGCTACATCACTTTTTTTTTTTTTTTAAGTAACAACAATTCACGGAAATGCGCAAACAGTGTTAAACATAATGTATTTGTAATCTTCCCTTTAATATAATCTAGAACTTTTTGGGAATGAATTTAGAATTTTACTCAGTTTACTGCACCCTCCCCCACTCAGGAATTATACACTGAATACAAAGTAAATGTGGTTTTCAATTCACCAGGGTTTACCATTTAGTGAATAAAGTTTAAAACATTGTAAAACATTTTTGTCACTAATTTTAACACGTCAAGATACAGGGAAAGTTCTATTGCTGCAGAAACAAACAGGTAACACGAGGGAGGATTTAAAGTGAATTTCAAATTGAAAACAAGAGGAATTGTTTCCATTTCAGGTATTTGAATCTTAAATTTGAAATTCAGTTTAAATTCACTTTGAATTCTCGCTGTCGTGAATAACCCTGAAGGTATTAATTTCACACCCTCTGGCACTCACAGATAGTCACTTATTGCAGGGCAATAAACCAGGGAAAGATAAACATTGAAGACACCTTACCTTAGTATATTGTTCTCTATTTACCTCCTCCCTACAAACAGAGACACAGGTAGAGATCACAAATACTGCTTCTGGTTTGGCAACTCCACTGAGCTACACTACAGCCTTACTTCACATCGTGTAACCTTTAAACACAAAGCGACCAATGAATGCACTGATACTAAGGCAGCCCAGGAACGCATGGCACCCGAGGGTCCATAACCTTGTTATTTAACATAACCCATTATGTAAGTTATGTATTGCTATCACTAACCCAGGACCTGTGGGGCTGAGCTGGAACATGGTTACAGTTTGGCTGTTTGGGACAATGACTTGCAAATCTCTTATTAATTCTCCACGATTCTTGGGTCGAACAAGTCACAGCTGTGGATCTGATGTTTTCTAAATTATTCTTAAAAGAGCAATTGCTGGCACAGTGGCCAAGTGAAAAGGCCTTGGTCTCGTAAACCAAAGCTCATGGGTTCATTCCCCATCTGGACCTAAGCAATTCAGAAAAGATTTGTCCTTTGTAATTAACTCAAAAGAGCAATTGCTAAATATCCAATCCATTCAAAGTGATCTTTAACTATAATGGAATTTATTTGCAAAAAAAAAGCATCACAATGGTTTGATAACAACTTAAATTGCAGACATATATTACAAGAATGATGGAGGTTGGAGAATCCTTCAGTATTATTTGAATATTCCTTCTTTTAGTTCAAAATGTGATCTGACCTTCATATTCAGCTTTATGATAAAAACACATTTTAAAACAAATAAAATCATACTTTGTGATGTTTTTATAACTATTTGACTCCATCAGTGATATTCCATGGCTGTTCTATGCCTTGTTTATTTTGGTTAAAAATCAGAGTAGCTAATTAGTACAAAACACATTTTTAGCAATTATTTTTAATCCCATGTTAAAACTAGCTACAGTCAGCAAGTCTTTTTTTTTTACTGATTCACAAAAAGAGTAAATCACCCCTCTAACATGAGCCGAGATGTAACAATCTGTGCACATTTCACAATCAAATGTATTTCTAAGAAACATTTTATATTTAAATAACTTTCGCCAGTACGAAGCCCCCTGACCTTTTACAGCCATTGTGTAAATCTCCTAAAACAATACATTTTAATTCTAATTCAAAAACAGAATCCTCCCGACAGCCTATACATATGCAAATTCCCGGGCTGAGCTCTGATTATATAAATGTAACCGATAATATGTGTATAGCACAGCATTCTTTAGTTAATATGGCCAGTTCTTCTGGAAACAAGATATCGAAATGTGGTTTGGCAGCTTTTTGTTCCAGTATTCAGACTATTTGTACTGATCCGTATTGTTGTCACACATTTTGCTGTCCTATTTTTAACCCTTCCCTTTTATTTTCTACCCTAAGATCTCCTACACAGAGATTCTCTCTCTATCCAGCTTGTTACTTAACAGAACCAGACCCTCAGTTCATGTACTCTTATCAGTAACATATACACAAATGTAACCGTAATGATGGCTTGTGTTCGATAAGATACGCAGGAAGCAAATAATGATTACGGAATTGCACAAAAACAGTTGTTAAGTCTGTAAATAGTTTAATGATGACATGAGTGTCGGCTAAACAATTTGCAACAAAATACATCAAAATGTTTTCTAAGCTATGTGAGACAACATTTTCAGAATGAGATATTCCTCTTACAGCCTCAATACAACCCACTTCATTTTGGTATTTATTTGGTAAGGCCTAACAAACCCCTATTTATTTTAATTTCGAAAGCTGTTCATTAAGCAGTAATATTATGCAAGATATAGAAAAGTGCAATATTTAAAGTGGACACATAGAAACATAGAAACATAGAAACATAGAATGTGACGGCAGATAAGAACCATTCGGCCCATCTAGTCTGCCCAATTTTCTAAATACTTTCATTAGTCCCTAGCCTTATCTTATAGTTAGGATAGCCTTATGCCTATCCCACGCATGCTTAAACTCCTTTACTGTGTTAACCTCTACCACTTCAGCTGGAAGGCTATTCCATGCATCCACTACCCTCTCAGTAAAGTAATACTTCCTGATATTATTTTTAAACCTTTGTCCCTCTAATTTAAGACTATGTCCTCTTGTTGTGGTAGTTTTTCTTCTTTTAAATATAGTCTCCTCCTTTACTGTGTTGATTCCCTTTATATATTTAAATGTTTCTATCATATCCCCCCTGTCTCGTCTTTCCTCCAAGCTATACATGTTAAGATCCTTTAACCTTTCCTGGTAAGTTTTATCCCGCAATCCATGAACCAGTTTAGTAGCCCTTCTCTGAACCCTCTCTAAGGTATCAATATCCTTCTGAAGATACGGTCTCCAGTACTGTGTACAATACTCCAAGTGAGGTCTCACCAGTGTTCTGTACAATGGCATGAGCACTTCCCTCTTTCTACTGCTAATACCTCTCCCTATACAACCAAGCATTCTGCTAGCATTTCCTGCTGCTCTATTACATTGTCTGCCTACCTTTAAGTCATCAGAAATAATCACCCCTAAATCCCTTTCCTCATATGTTGAGGTTAGGACTCTATCAAATATTCTGTACTCTGCCCTTGGGTTTTTACGCCCAAGATGCATTATCTTGCACTTATCCACATTAAATGTCAGTTGCCACAATTCTGACCATTTTTCTAGTTTACCTAAATCATTTGTCATTTGGCTTATCCCTCCTGGAATATCAACCCTGTTACATATCTTAGTATCATCAGCAAAAACATATACCTTACCATCAAGACCTTCTGCAATATCACTAATATCTGCAATATCTCGAAGGTCCTAGCAGTGAAAGCAGTACGTTTAGTATACAAAGTAATCAACTGTATAAACATCCCAATGCAGGGGAAGTATTAATGGCATTGCAATAAGTTCTAATTAAAGACAATGTCATTGACTACTCGCGTCCTCTGTAGGCATGCTGGATACTCCCAGCTACCGAAAGATCAATCAAGGTATATTACCAAACAGGTATACAATGTACGTTTGGTATGCAGAGTAGCTGTTAATCATCTTGTCTGTGAATTGAAAAATACCTGCCCCCCTATCTAGGTAGGAGGCAAATGTATGAGCAAAGGAAGATAAGGACAGAGAATAAAGTCAAAGATACGTAAGAGAAGAAGAGAGAAGTGAGAGAGGGTGGGATGGGAACCATCCCACCTGCCTAGAGTATGTGAATTTCCCCATCACTGGGGCTGTTCCCAATTGTTTCAAGGGTGTCCCACACAGGTGCACGGTTCGCTAGCTGGGCAGAGTTTTTCCGGGCACCTCTCCTATGGCTGGAGCCCCCCTTCCGCCCCCATGCCCCGCTCCGTCACCTTCCCCCGGCCACGGCCGTCACTTCTCCACATGTTGGAGGCGTTCAACAGATATCGGGGGATACATTTTTTTGTAAGCCCTGAAGGTAGTTGGTGTGGAGAACAAACCCCCATTTATATCTGTTGCAAAATTGAACTTTAAATAGTGAAAGTGGGAGTAATTACTTTAAGTTAAACTATAGTTTTTGTATTACAAAAAAATATTCCTAACACTAGTGTCCCTGTCCCTTCTCTTTTTAGGTCTCCACTTGCAATCATCTTTTTATCCAGTGCCGGGGCATCCTCAATATTGCTTACCTCTCTGCCTCCCACAATGTAACGCAGGAGTCTTGTCCTCCTCCGCTGATGTACAATCCAATGCTCCTCACAGAGACCTAATGCGCATGCGTAGTGACTGCTGCGCACATTCACATTCCCCCCATAGTAACGCAATGATGCGGAAGCACTTCTAGTGGCTATCATACTGAATGGACTTAACCCAGTCCATTCAGTATGATAGCCAAAAACTGCAATGTTTTACTTTTCAGGATTAAGAGGACAGGGACACTGCATTGAGATGAAGTCTTCTAGAAGAGTGGTCCCCAACCCAGTCCTCATGGGCCAACAATAGTCCATGTTTTGTTAGTATGCCATTTGAATAAAAAAGGGAAATATATAAATCCTGGACTTTTGGTGGCCCATGAGGACTGGGTTAGGGACCACTGTTCTAGATGACTATAGTGCTCCTTAAACTGCAAAGGCAACCCAAGTAATACATTCCAATGTGTGTCTGCTTTTTCCAAAATTATATCTAACCCATGTCGGCAGCATCTGCATTTACTGATTTCACGTATGGCACAGACTCCTATTGTAGAATATTTTTTTAGACAATATTGTTACACTTTACACTCAATTATGGTTCATTTTGAATTACATGAATATATGATAATAGGCTTTATAAACTCTTTTCTATTTCTGAGTGTCCATGAAACATGTGGATGACCTTAAAAGGTTAATAGAAATGCCAACATGAATATTGTAGCAATAGCATTGACTTTGACACACAGACACTGAGACACAGAATGTCAAGGGCATGATGTCTCCACCTGAAACTCTGAATGTCCAGCATTTACCACCAGCTGTTGACTCTTTTAGTATCAATAAAGCTGTAAGTACTGACTGTATTTGCAAAGCAAGGTTAATAAATCTGTTTTTATTTTAAAAAATTAACAAAAAAATCAGGAGAGTCGGATTGCATTATATTTTTTTGTGACACAGAAACACATATCTATGTATATTTTACCAGAAGAATGAAGAATATACACACATATGAATAAGTATATGAAGAAGCATTACTTTTTCAATGTGTTCTACACCGTTACATCGCCTGCTATACCTGAATAGGTCACATTCCATGTTCTATTGAGTTCATATCAAGCTTTAAGATTAACATTACAGAACTCAAAGAAAGAGTCAGAATTTATCTTGCTTCTTCGAGGATGGGTTTTGCACATCATGCCCTGGATTTATTTAAATCTGTTTTTACAATTAGGTATCCTGCCTTATTGGTTAATACTTCCATAGAGATCAACTATATCTACACATGTCTTCCCAACAGACACAATTGCACCCTAAGGCAGGTCAAAATAAACTGGACCACAGGAAGGACCTCATGTTTTGTGAATATTATGTCATTTGGGATGCAGTTGTTGGAAGATTTGTAAATGAGAATCAGTTTGTAAAATTAAATCCCAAAATCTAGAGGAAGTCCATGTAAGGATCGAGTAACGGATTAGTGTGAGAAGAGTTTGCACAGCGGAGTCCAGTCATCAAAGCCTTAGTTGGTCAGTGCTTAAATGAGAGTATTGTTTGCATCTAGTGGTAGACTTTGCTTAATAGCATTTGATCAAGGTGAGAAAAGCAGGATTTAGAAACTGGGTGAGAGTGAGGCTAAACTCAAATAGTACAAGGCAGTGAGCTTGTGGTTAATGCTTTTTTTACAATGACATGAAGAGACTTGGGCAACGTGCTTAACAAACAGCAAGCAATAAGTTCTATCATAAAAAACTGCTAAAAGGGATCAGACACCTCTTCAATGACTGCTTGCTTATTGTATGGTCCAAGCGTGCACAGGGTTCAGGATGCCCAGATTTAGAGGGTGGATGCACTTTTATGCATAACCCGTGCAAGGGGTCTACCCAGGATCCTCTGTACCTGTGAGCCACGTGCGGGAAAGGGGACCTAGTCTCTTTGTCTCCCACGTACTGAAAGCCCACCCCACATACAAAGGGACCCAACGACAGGGGTCTTCATCCCAGTATCCTCCACGCCTGTGAGCCCAGTCGTGGGAAAAAGGGACCCAGTCTCTCTGTATCCCAGGCGCAGAAAGCTTGCCAAACTAACCAGTGCCCCAAAAGTGTCCTCATCAACCTCCAGAAGCCCCACACCATGCATTTCCCGACTGGTAGATGTTCCTGTGGCTCCTGTGCAAACCCCGGGAAAGGGAAGAGTGTCTTTTTGGAATACGAATGATCCCCCTGGGTGGCGTTCGTCTATACGAAATGGCGGCCACCCAGGGAAGCACTCACTCATTACTTCTCTTATAAGGGGAGCTACACAATACTAGGCAGGGGGTTTTAATGTTGTGGCTGATCAGTGTATGTATTTCTTGAGAATTTGCAATTTTATTTTCTTGCAGCCAAAGCTATATTTTATAAGTGAGCATTATTACTTTAATGCATCCATTACACACACACACACACACAATGCAACCCTTACACATAAAGACAATGCACCCTTTACACACATACACAGAAACACACAATGCATCTCTTACACACATGCAAACACACACTACTTCTCTTACAAACACACAGAAACACAATGCATCTCTTACACACACTCAATGCACCCCTTACAGACACAGACTGCATCCCTTACATACACAGATTCACACAATGCATCCCTTACACACAATCAGAAACACACAATACATCCCTTATACACAAACACACACTGATTTCTATCCCTTACACAAAAACACACTGCTTCCACTACACACAAACACACTGCATCTCCTACATAAACTGGTATCCCTATACACTACATTCCAAAAGCAAACACTTTGGATTCTCTACAATGACACAACACATCCCCTACACACTCCACTCCCTGTGAGCGAACTCATGGGTGGAACATGTAGGTGGACTTATAGGTGGGCCTTATGGGCATACTCACCCTCAGGCCCTTGAGCTGTGTAAGGGAGCTCCCAGAACATTGAATTTTGTGACCACAGTTACAAACAGCCTCCAGACATCCTGTTCTACACCAGACCAGTGGAGCCAAACTGCAGCCCATCATCATCCTCATCTGGTTGTAAGTAGGTAATCTAGTACATTATTAGTGACACTAATCTATAATTTACCTCTCATTAAAGGGACACTATAGTCCCCAGAACCACTGCAGCTTAATGAAGTGGTTCTGGTGTGCAGCACTGGCATTAGTTCATATGGCAGATCATAAGGGTGGGGCATTGTGATGTCACATAGGGGTGGGGGGCAAAATTTTATTTTGCCTAGGGTGGCAAAAATCCTTGCACCGGCCCTGGTTGTGCTAGAAATGTTTGAAATTATGTAATAATAATGTAATATTGTACAATGCATACATACAGGCTAGAGTGACAGAAAAAAGCCCTATCCCCTTTAAAAAAATAAATAAATAAATATATATATATATATATATATATATATATATATATATATATATATATATATATATATATATATATATATATATATATATATATATATATATATCTTGCACTTACAGAGAAAAAGACAAGTCAATTATAAATGCACAGAATATCATTACAGTCATAAATAGGTTCAAATTAAGGATGAGTGAGCCAAACAAATAAGATGTATAATTCATAGATTATATAAACCATTTATACCTCTATGAAGTATAATGTATTGAGTATATGTGCCATATATACCTATATAAAGTATAATGTACAGAGTATATGTGCCATATATACCTATATAAAGTATAATGCATTGGGTATTGAGCCTTATATACCTATGTAAAGTATAATGTATAGAGCATATGAACAATGTATACATATGTAAAGTATAATGTATGAAGCATATGAGCCATATATACCTTTTTAAAGTATAATATATGAAGCATTTGAGCCATATACCTTATAAAGTATAATGTATGAAGTATATGAGCCATTATAAAAGTATAATGTATGAAGTATATGAGCCATACATACCTATATAAAGTATAATGTATGAAGTATATGAGCCATACATACCTATATAAAGTATAATGTATGAAGTATATGAGCCATACATACCTATATAAAGTATAATGTATGAAGTATATGAGCCATACATACCTATACCTTATAAAGTATAATGTATGAAGTATATGAGCCATACATACCTATATAAAGTATAATGTATGAAGTATATGAGCCATACATACCTATATAAAGTATAATGTATGAAGTATATGAGCCATACATACCTATATAAAGTATAATGTATGAAGTATATGAGCCATACATACCTATATAAAGTATAATGTATGAAGTATATGAGCCATACATACCTATATAGAGTATAATGTATGAAGTATATGAGCCATACATACCTTATAAAGTATAATGTATGAAGTATATGAGCCATACATACCTATATAAAGTATAATGTATGAAGTATATGAGCCATACATACCTATATAAAGTATAATGTATGAAGTATATGAGCCATACATACCTTATAAAGTATAATGTATGAAGTATATGAGCCATACATACCTATATTAAGTATAATGTATGAAGTATATGAGCCATACATACCTATATAAAGTATAATGTATGAAGTATATGAGCCATACATACCTATATTAAGTATAATGTATGAAGTATATGTGCCATACATACCTATAGAAAGTATAATGTATGAAGTATATGAGCCATACATACCTATAGAAAGTATAATGTATGAAGTATATGTGCCATACATACCTATATTAAGTATAATGTATGAAGTATATGAGCCATACATACCTATAGAAAGTATAATGTATGAAGTATATGAGCCATACATACCTTATAAAGTATAATGTATGAAGTATATGAGCCATACATACCTATAGAAAGTATAATGTATGAAGTATATGAGCCATACATACCTATAGAAAGTATAATGTATGAAGTATATGAGCCTTACATACCTATATAAAGTATAATGTATGAAGTATATGAGCCATACATACCTATATAAAGTATAATGTATGAAGTATATGAGCCATACATACCTATATAAAGTATAATGTATGAAGTATATGAGCCATACATACCTATAGAAAGTATAATGTATGAAGTATATGAGCCATACATACCTATAGAAAGTATAATGTATGAAGTATATGAGCCATACATACCTATAGAAAGTATAATGTATGAAGTATATGAGCCATACATACCTATAGAAAGTATAATGTATGAAGTATATGAGCCTTACATACCTATATAAAGTATAATGTATGAAGTATATGAGCCATACATACCTATATAAAGTATAATGTATGAAGTATATGAGCCATACATACCTTATAAAGTATAATGTATGAAGTATATGAGCCATACATACCTATATAAAATATAATATATGAAGTATATGAGCCATACATACCTATATAAAGTATAAT